TTTCCTAATTAAGTTTGCCCGAATGGTTGAGGGAAAGATGTCTTTCAAAGACAGCGATTACGATGGAGTCTGAAGAGATTCGGAGAAGACGTGGGGGTGCTCAATGGTACACCGATGGCGCAAAAAAAGTAGAGAAATCCGTCAAATACATGCAAAATGAGACACCCTCATTCGCCTGTCCATTTTCGACAGAGGGGCGGCCAAGAAAGGGATCGTCTGGAGTGTTAAACCCGATGGCCGATACTCATGCCAACAACATTACGCCTTACACAGATAACTCAGAAGACGCAGTCGCTTGAGCGGAATACCCATTCAGAATGACATCAAATTGAAACCACTAAACACAGAGCTCCCCAAATCAACTATAGTGGGTGGAGCGGTTAGAGGACTATGTGGTTTCCATGTACTGCTCAGCGACTAGTGCACCTTTCGTTGTAAAAGCGCTATACTCCGTTGGCATTCTTGATACTCCTCCGAGTGGCGCATACATACACTTCTCCGGTGCCCACAAACTTTATCGTAATCACCTCCTTCAATTCCAAACCATCTCTGTTGTTCCCAAATCAAAATGTGACTCACCGAATTTACCAGGTCTTGTCATTAATCAAGAGGTGATTCATCAGATTTACCAACTCATTAATTGTAGTGAATTTTATTTGAAGTTACTACTTTGTCTGTTACCAAAGAGACAAAAGTTTCTTTGCTTTATATAAAATTTGCATACAACAATTATGCAAATTCGTAACTCAGGTGCTTCTCTGCCCTCCCACCATCGACGCTATGGCGGTTGTACACCGTGAAAAGGAAATGTTTCCGTTTGTGAAATACGTGAATCAACTCGCTGAAAAAGATCCTATCTACGTATTCGGATTTTCGGTTTATGGAGCAGTTGTGGCCGATAAGATTGCAAATGGAAGTGGTGATGCTGAAAACGAGAAAGACGATGATGCAGAGGGAAGTTCCTAGTTTTGCTGCTACTCGCCATAATTTTTAGTTCGCAGGAAAACATTTACTCCTTCTTTTCTGGCCGTTCCCTACAGTTTAACTCAACTTGTGTTTATTTGTTGTGAAGCTCTGTTACATCTCGTGCTTTGCTTATTTTTTCGGTGTTTTTGAAGACTATATGGAGAGTAGCATTGGTTCTGTCAAATCGTTGTTATTGTTAGACATTAGAAATTGTTTTGCTTGTTTTCTTTTTTGTTGTTATGTTTTTAATTCCTAGTCTAGTTGAGTTGAAATACACCGGTATTGTTGAATTGTTAATCACTGAGTCCTTTCAGAATAAAGGAGGATTTTCCAAGGAGGTAAAGGACTGGAGAAATGGTTTTTTGTTCCCCAGTTTAGGTTTCCTCACTCCTAGGTCATAGATGGTCTCTACTTTTATTAGGTTGTCCAATAGGTAGTGTGACTATTTTCCAAGTGGGATTTTCTCCACTCAAATTCCATGCCTTTAAATCACCTTATATCAATTCTAAATAGATTCACCTGCTCTACAAAAGAGTACATTCGCTTCCAAGATTCTTGTAGGTAGGTTAAATTCTATGCCTGTGAAATTGACTTGCAGTCGAGAAAAATCAGCCAGACTGAAAAGTAGCTCTGGGAGTGTGGACCGCCCGTAGCGCAGTTTAAGGGGGAGGAGGGGTTCGTATTTAATCGAAAGAAGGGTGAGGGAGGTCGCTTACGCAGGGACCAGATTGAGCAATCAGATTAGCCAACAAAAGTGCGATTGGATCACTATATTAACAGCACATCGCCAGTACGATGACAGCCCCTAGGGAAACGAAAGACCTCTAAACGCTAGTACGGCTGCTAACCACGGATTGGTTCACGGCGTATCTTTTGGCAGGAGTTGGTATTGCAAAACGGGTTC